CACTCAGCGCTGCCGACAAAATCCAAACTCGCTGTTTTTGTTGCTTTGAGCCCCTTTTAGCAAGTATTTAGGAACTACCTAGAGAGGGAGCTCTCCCCTGCGGATTCTCCAGACCTCATTATATTAAGAACTAAACTCAGTCTGGTTTGTCGTGAAATAATATAACCCAGATTTCTCACATGATGACTGGACATAATTATATATATTTGTCTGCTATTGCTGCTCGTGGTTTCTTGGAAAGTTTTATTAAAACTTTCCTATCATGGCCTTGGCACTCTAAAGTGGGGAAAGATGATATTATGATAAAGCAAAAATAAACTATTGCATCAATAGGCTGCTTTCCCACTTAAACCAAAATATTTTTTGATTACTTGTTGGCCGATGTATTTTGGAAATTACTCTGTTTACTAATTCCAATGTTCTTTATTTAGCAAGGCCAGGCTCTCCCAGGCTGTAGCGATGAGTAACTTAGTGCAGCTGTAAATCGCTTGCAGGGACTCCGAGCAGCCCCGGTGTGTCCAGTTAAACCAGAGTCTAACGCTCTTTCAGAAGCATTTTGCTCTTGTCAGAAACGTCTGACAATGACAGTGAGTCATCGGTGTCCTCATCTTCACCATGAAGATGAACTCGCTGAAAAGCAACAGCTTTTGGAAGGGCTCGGTTTGGCCATATAAGGGGCAGCCTTAGTTTTGGGGTAGAGTGCTTGGCGTGTGGCTTTAAATAACATATTTGCACTGAGAAGGAAAAGGCGAGGGGTGACTAACGTCTGCGCTTGGGTGCGTGTGTGGCGGTCTATTTATACCCGCCTCCTGCTTTCTTTGCAAGTCTGCATAGCTTTGGGAGTCGCTGGCCATTTGCAGCTCTCAGCTTTTCTTCTTATGCAGCTCAATGGATTCTTACCTCCAGGATGTCACCCTCGACCAGCTGAAACTTTCACACTCAGGAAAACTGAAGTCTATCAGAGGAAAGTGCAGCTGGTTACCTGCAGCTCGTGACTGTTGTCATCAGATGGCCCTTAAAGCTCACTCCTGTCCATTGAGTTCTCCTATGCCACCTTTATTATATACACACACACCCCTATATGTAGGTGTGTGCAGATGGAGAAATTCTATTAGCTTTGTTTTCTCTGCTCACTTGCGGTGGAAAGAAAGGAAATGAATGCTGAAAATGCTGACAAACCTCCTGTGGAGATGATTCAGACTGGAAACTGCAGCGCAGGTTTTGGCTCTCACCAAGCTGTTGGCACTTGCAGTGCTACTTTTGGCTCCTGCTTCCACTTCCTTGCCTGTTGGGTCTTGCTTGCAATCTGTAGGGCTTGGGATGGGTGCAAATACTTAATGCACAGACGTGACATGCTTGGATATGACTTCCTTTGGGCTATCGTGATCCAAAGCCTGCAAGAGGAGCAATCTCTCTGGATTTCTCAGGGATAAGGGAGCTCTTCTGGGGCCTGGCAAATGAAGAGCTGCTGGTTGCATTACGGGTCAGAGGGGGATGCCTAAAGGCCACTTAATAAGCGAACGTGTCTGAAAGCTTCACGTGAGTGCTTCAAAGCCATGAGGAAGGCCTCCCTTGTGTGCAGCTTTAGGCTGGCTTTAGTTATGGCCAGTTTAGTTTAGTTTAGTTATAAGAAAAACAGAGACCCAAATGGTCTGTGTTAGGGACCGAGCGGCTGAGGCAGACCCTGGGGAGCACGAGGAAGGCCTCCCTTGTGTGCAGTGTTAGGCTGACTTTAGTTATGGCCAGAATAAGAAAAACGGAGACCCAAACGGTCTGTGTTAGGGACAGAGCGGCTGAGGCAGACCCTGGGGAGCAGGGTACGTACAGAGCCAAGAGCATGGTTGAAATCCCATGGTGACGTACATAAATACGTGTCTTAAACGCTACAACCTAATTTGTAAACCAAGACTTCTTTTTTTCTCCCTGGAAAAAACATAACATTTGGCCTTTTATTGGAGGTACCTTAGTAGGTTAATACTGCACCGTAAGCTCACTAAACTTTCTATTTATGTCTCGTACAGCAGAATGCAGACTGGAACAAGTATGATGACAGGCTAATGAAAGCAGCCGAAAGGGGCGACATGGAAAAGGTTTCATCCATCCTTGCGAAGAAAGGGGTCAGTGCCACCAAGCTGGACGTGGAAGGGCGCTCTGCGTGAGTACCGCCCCGCGAGCCGGGCTCGGCGCTGCTGCTTGAAAAACATATATATACACTTTTTAAAAAAAATAAAATCTGTGTAATACTGTGGTGGACTGTAGCCTCATCTGAACCAATTAATGCAAGCTTTTAATCTGCAATTGCACATGGGAAAACACGTTGCTTGTAGAGCGTAGTGGAAGAACCAGAGAAGGGAGAAAACCTCTCTGAACACACAAGTAACTGGATTGTCAGGTGCAATGTGACTTATGAAGAAAGCTAATTTTTAACTTCCTAAACTTTTGGTTTCTGAGACTATATTGCATTAGAGATTCCATGTAGTCATTAGGGAAATGGACCTGAGCCCTTGGTTTGCATGCTGCCTTTTAATCTCCCCAGTGCACCTGTATGCTGAGAGGTGTTTTGAACTGATGATACAGGATGGTGCGTGCATCTTGCATACTGCTGATTTCCTAGCTTATTTATTTAATTTATTTTATTTTTTTTTCATTTTTAGCATTGAGGACCTACTCTTGTAAATGCAGAGCCAGTTTGGCAGGAGAGGCAGATGCTTTAAGGCTTGGTGCCTTGTTGCTCTCCTGCTTTTTGACTGGTTCTCAGTGATTCCCTAACGCATCCTGACCCTGGATACTGACAGATGCTGCTGGGAAACACCCAGCATGGGGGCTTTACATTGCAGGGAGCATCTTCATCAGGCTTGTGTTAACATCCACCTCTGGCTGCAGCTAGTCCTGGGACAACTTGCTAGTTAAATATGTTGGTGTCTGCTGGTAACCTTAGGATGGCTGGAGCAGAAAATAAAGGTGGAATTAGCAGGCTTCATGAAAGGGGCACAAAGGAGGAACTTCTCTCTTTCCTTTCTTAATCTAGGAGCTAGGTAGTTGTGTGTATTAGAGAGACTCTGAAAATATTCATATTGTCCCTTCTTCCTCATCCAGTTTCTGAAAGGTATGCTTGCAAAACAGATGGTCAGAATTCCAGATAGCCAGCATGTCAGACTGTTGTTAAAAGCAAGCAAGCAAACCTTTAGTGTTTAAATACTTACTCTTCCTAAATTTGATGCGAAAGGAAAAACGGAAAGTGTGCTGGGATTCTGCTTGATTCGTTGACTCAAGCTAAATGATGACTACCTGGGAAATTGCTCTTGCTCCTGTGCAGTAAAATCTGCAGAACTCTCAGCTGGGTTTGGACACTGCTAAACTAAATTTGAATAATGCTTCAGTATCCTGTACTTAGCTTTGGCTTTTCTACTTAATAATATTGCCTTTTGTGCATGGAACAGCTATGCTTAAGGTATTTTCTATTTCTAGATTCCATGTTGTAGCATCAAAGGGAAATCTGGATTGCCTGAATACGATTCTCGTTCACGGCGCGGATATCACGGCCACCGATGCTGCAGGTAGGCGGCCCTCGAGTTCTGGGGAATGGGCAAAGTTCTCAGCTTCCTTTTTATTTGCATTAGCATTAAGCCAAGGTGTAGGACAGAGATCTTTCCCTTGTGTAGAGTATTTAAAGCTATGAAGCTGTTGACCTAAACTGCCTCTTGTCCTGCAATCAGTCTAGCACTCAAAAGGCAATTACGTGACTTGGGGTGTCCCTGTGTCCTGCACGTAACCACTGATGTGGTGGATGGAACTGTGGAGGAAGCAGTTTGGGTTCACATGAAAAACCCTTAGAAAGTCTTCAGGGAAGGATAAATTTACTTCTTATAAATCAATGTTACATGATTAGTAATTTTTTGAAAAAGTCTACGTGGACATGTTGAATTTGTGTATGTTTTTTCAAATGCGCATACAAAATAGATCCTGAATCTGCTGCTCTTCTCCTTATAGGTCGAAATGCGTTGCACCTAGCTGCAAAATATGGACATGCTTTATGTTTGCAGAAGCTACTGCAGGTACTGATGAATGTAACTCAGCACCCTTTACTCTCAAAGGAAGAAGGAGCTCTTAAATATATATATTTAATGTTGAAGTATTACATGTTCTTTTTTTTTAAATGAGTCAAAGTAAATTGTGGCTGAAAGTGCTAAAATCAAGAAAATAAACATCTCTTTATCTGTTGTGCACAAACACTTGGAATTTTAGCAGGAATTGTGAGTGATTGCAGACTTTTCCACAGTCTTAATTTACAACTTTTCTGATTAGTTCGTTTGAAGTACTAGAATGCATGTACCCATGAACCCCTCGTCCTCTCCATGTATGTAGATATGCTTGAGAACTATAAAAACACATCATCTTTCCTATTAAATGACTTTAAGTAAAACCCCAAGTGATTTCATGTTTTACAAATGCTATTTCAATCCTCACTGAAGGTGAACTGTTTATTTTAATAGTACAATTGTCCAACTGAAAATGTGGATCTTCAAGGAAGAACGGCTCTCCACGATGCAGGTAAAGGCCTTGCTTTTCCAGGGACCGTGGAATATAATCTATGTGGAATAAAATCTGCCTCGTTGCCCCGTCTCCGCGTCCCGGGCAGGGTGCGAGGTGTGTGGTTTATTCAATGTGCTTTGGAGAGTCGCGCAGCCTTGTCGTGCTTTGTTTTACTTTCGTGTGTCCTTGTGGAATAAATGTACTGCAGAGCGTGTGGGGCCTCACGAAGGCTCCGTTCAGCAGTGCAACTTGCTCTTTCCTTCTCTTGAAAGCTATGTCAGACTGTGCCTCCAGCATACAGCTCCTGTGTGACCACGGGGCCTCTGTGAATGCAAAAGATGGGGTAAGTTCCCACTTAAATCTCTCCATTAAGAGATCTCTCTTGAATCCAGCTAGAGTTCCTGTGCTTTCTCTCCCTTCTCCCCCTTTCCTCATTTATTTCCCCATTTTTTGCCTTCAGGATGGGAGGACACCGTTAGTGCTGGCCACTCAGATGTGTCGTCCTACGATCTGTCAGCTCCTCATAGACAGAGGGGCAGAGGTTAACGCCAGGGACAAACAGAACAGGTACGGCCAGCAGCCCAAGCAGGGGCTCTCCTCGGTTGGCAATAAGTTAAAACTCATCTGAAAAGACTCCTGAACTGTGACTGAATCCAGAAGCAACGTGCCAATTTAATAATGCAAATAAATGTGGCCTCTTAATTGCTTGTGCTTGCATCTAAAATATGTGTTGGCTTGTGTGAAAGTACTGTGTGTTGCTGGCTGCAGAGAAACAGAAGCTGCTTGTGCTAAAGGCTCATCTCTCCTTCCTGCAGCCTTTGCTATGGTCCGTTTTGTGCCTCCTGGTTCCAGGAGTGGCACTCTGCAGCAGTGCCCTGGGCTCCCAAGGGGACATTGCAGAGCGTTCCAACCCCTTACCTGTCCATGCGGGTCTGTGTGCAGCCCTTTCCTTTCCCGGTTATCTCGGAGGATGACTGCACCAGCGTGCACGTGGCCCATGGCCAGGGTGCCTGCTGCTTGCTGGCGTTTGCTGAGCCTGGCACTGCTCCTTCGGAAGGGATTGCCAGGGCTTCCAAACACCTGCTCAAACCGGCTGACCTACCTTTCATCTTGGCTTTGTCGTTCCTATTTAAATAGTGACCCAAAATCACGCGTGTGCTCAAAATACAGGGTGGCTCTCTCAAAAGCAAGAGATTCATCCTCGCTGCAAGAAAGCAATACTATGAGTGGGTTTCTAATTTGGTTCTTTTTATAAAAATATTTAAAGCTGAATTAAAACTTGCTTTCCTCTCTTGATGGAGGAAAGACCTTTGGCTGAAGTCTGTGATTAGACATGAGGCGTGTTGAAGGATTACCCTGCGACTGGTTGTTCCATCTCTGAATGCATCTTTCTTCCCCATTCCCAGGACCGCCTTAATGTTAGGCTGTGAATATGGCTGCAAGGATGCAGTAGAAGTTTTGCTCAAAAATGGTGCGGATGTTAGTTTGGCTGATGGCCTTGGTCATGACTGTGCTTACTATGCCAGAATTGGTGACAATATTGACATTTTGGCTTTAATAAAAGCTGCCGTTGAGGATTCCAGCAAAGGTATGAAGAACACTACTGTAACTGCTTGCTCTTATTTTTTTCTCTTGAGTTGTGCATCTTCTCATGGTTAGATGTTCAGAAACCTGCCCTTTGCAGGGCTGCTGTAATTTTTTGAACAAAAAGCTGCCTATCTGAGAGGAAAGTGTGTGTTTTCTTTTTCCTTAATCAAGCTTTTAAAGCTGATACGCTCTGTGATGTCATTAGGCACAGGATATTATTGATCTTTCTGCACTGTTAATCATGGGAGTTTTACCTTGGACTTGTAAATGTTGTTTTTCAGTTAATCAAATCAGCAATCTCTTTCTTCAAATATCCTCTCAAGATAAAAACTTAAGTAAAATAGCTGCGTGTGCATTGCAGGAAGCTGAATGAAATACACCAAGTTCTCAATTTTTGTCATTTCTTTCTCAGCAAGGGATATCACAAAGAAAGGGCAACCTGAACAAAAGGTGAGGCTTTTCTCTGCTGTATGTGTCTAACCTGACCTTCCTTGGAAGGGACAAGGGGGTGTGTGTGGCACTAATGAACTTCACTCTGCTGCATCATTATTTCTTCCTTCCTTCTCCATGTTCCCCCAATGAACAGGGGCCTTGGAGCCAGGGTTTATGTTCAGTAAATCCTCCCCTGCCAGAGCTGTTGCTGAATGAGGAGCTGCTTTTGCATGTCCTTACTGCCTGGAGTGAAACTGTGCAGTCTTGGCTATCCCAGCAACGCTTGCTAAGCCTGTTTTAATTGGGGTGTTCAGTATGTGTCACACAAGAAAAGATCTTGGGAGTTATGGTGTAAATTTACTGCAGTTTTTCTTCACTGCTGTGAAGTAAATAGCCTGTAAATAATAAAGGCCCAGCAGGCCTGTTACTTTGGTTTATGCTACGTGTTTATACTGCACATCAAACAAAATGTTATGCAGTTCTGGATCATAAATAGTGGCTGGTTTCCATAGCTATATATTGAAATAAAACTGCTGAATTGGGAGGTGTGACCCAAGTGTGCTCAGCCCGCTTGGGGAGACCGAGTTCCAACCTCGTGTGTAGCTGGGAGAGTTCCCCCCCCTGATGAGGTGCTTCCGTGTGCATCTGTTTGGAAACACTTGGTGCGTATGGGAGATTTGGCCGGTTACCCCTGGGTGAGCCTGGGAGATAGAGCTACCTCCTGAGGAGAAACAGGCTGAGCAAAATGCCAATGTTCAGCAGTGTTGTCCCCGTGGAAGCTGAAACCAGATTTGCACTGTCCCGCTGCCTGCAGCAAGGAGAGTGCCGCAGACAGGTACATTAATATGATAATGTGTCAATAACAGGTTACTCGCATGTCTCAGAAATGGAATCGGCTGCCCACGCAGGAGGAGGCGAATGCCCAGGTGTATCGCAAGGAGCACAACGCTCAGGTAACGCAGAGGGTTTCCGTGACTTGTGTTTTCCTATGTGCATAATGAACCAGGCATGAAAGAAAAGATGTGCTTGTAACCATTAGAAATTCCAATTAGAAAGGTCATATATATTGTGGTTTAATTAAAATTAATTGCTTGAGTATGCAATACAGTAGTTTCAAAGAAAGTGTAGAACTTTCTAGGCGGGGAGAGAAAACCTGTTCGTGTGTGTAATAAGTAGCTGCAGGTTTCTGGATGCTTTAGCTGTTCCCTTTTAACCCCTTGTTGTTCACACACGTTCCCCTTTTAACCTTTTGTCACATACGTTCACGATGTTCACATGTGATGCACCTCAGCCCCTGGTCCTGCAGGGAGAAATTATAAGATCCCCAAACTGGAAGACTTTTAACATTCTTTTGAGACCGTTGCTCATGTGTCTTTGAGTGTCTTACTATAACTGTTTTTCATTATAATTATGTTAACTGTTATTATCTCATCTAGTTACCATGTCCCTGCAGCTTATGGAAAGGTAGATAACTTTTTAAATTATAGGAAACAAGCCACTGAGAAATTGAGAATATTGTTTTGCAATATCTTTCAGTAAAAGGATAAAGATCTCTGAATGCAACTTCTCTGGTTTGAGCTAAAGAATTTATCGCAGTTAAGGAAGGGATTTAATCTGGCAAAACTTAAACAGGCTTTATTGTCTAGGTGTAAGTGCTGTGCTGACTGAAGGCACAAAGAGCTGTTTGTGCCTGTATGTGTTACTATGGTGATCCCTGTGTCTGTTGGAACAGTTAGTGCATTGAAAGGTTGTTGCATTTCATGCTGGTGAGGAGGCATTTTCTCATTACACCTGAGTGTAGTGATTGGATTCCAGACACTGTTTTAACATCAGTTGTTTTCACATGCTTAGGATGAAAGCAGAGTAAAATGACATTTTTAAACCTCTGTACACTTACCACGAATGAGCTTCCTAGAGATGAAAAGCTTGAAGAAACTTGAACTTGTAAATAGTCAAAAGGAAATGGACCTTAAGTATGGCTACAGAATGATTATGGTACATGTTAATTGAGGTTTGGTATCTTTTAATGACCGTTGAAATTGTTGCTTCAGATTCTTTAGCTTTTCTTATGTATGTTTTTTCTTCTAGGAACTGGAATTAGAAAATCAGGACTTGAAAGATCGAATGAGAGAAGTGCAAGAGGAGCAAAGGATGCTGTTGGACAGAATCAATGGGCTCCAGCTGCAGCTGAATGAGGTAAAACTATATTGCAATAAGCTGACTTGGGACCCGTGATAACCATCTGACACAGACAGTAGACAGGAAAGCTCCTAGGCAGAGTTGTTGTTTTATTTTGTCCTCTTTCTTGTGTTCTCATAAATTTTCACTATTGTGTTTCACTGTCACTGTCTTCTCTGTGAAGGAAGGTAATGTTTGGTCTTGTACTGATACTTAAAATGTGGTGAGACTGGTCACAACTTCTTCTGTTCATCCTCATAAATTTGGGTACTGGCTTTTATGGCTATACTTGTTAACATAATCATGATATATTTTGGGGTGTGTATATATATAATTTCAGAAAGCAAACTTAATCTGCAGTTAAGTGTAGGTGTTGTATGTCAGCACATACGATGCTCATTTTGTTTTTCTAGCTATTACTATCAGTAGAAATATATAAAAAAACTCTTCAGCTGACAGGAGAAAAAAAAAGACATTTTCAGTACAGAATCTGTCACCCTAATTTGAAACTCTGCTGACACGTTCTCTGTATTTGGAGTACTTGGAATGGCCAGATGGCCAATTTGGGAGAAAAGCAAAACAGGATTTTTTGTTTTGTTTCCTGGCGGTTCCCTTTCTCCTGCTCTTCATTTCTGCAGGATGCACTGTTTAAAAAAGTGAAACTTCCTAAGTGGAGCACAGAAAGAAGACCAGTATGTCTTCACATAAGCTTCGTCCTAGAAGGTCATCAGACTTTTGAGCAGTGCCTTTAAAACAAACAACCAAACCCCTTAACATTCATTTTCCAAAATCAGCAAGTTTCTATCTTCTTCAGTGAAAGATAATTAAAAAATAATTAAAACATGTTCCCATTTCTTAATATATGTTTCGGAAAACATTGTTATATTGAACATCTTTAACTTTTCTTTCTTTCTTTTTCCTTTCCAAATGTTAGATGGTAAATGGAAGGGGAAAAGTGTATTGGGAGCAGGTTGCATTGTAAGCTGGGCTAGGCTCATCACTTAATGAACTATATATAAGCCCCTCAAACACTATTGAAAAATGATTTTGGGGCGGGGGGGATTTTTTTTATTTTTGCAGGAGCAAATGTTTGCAGATGATCTTGAAAATGAGGTAGGATATACACCTTTAAGAGTAATAAAGCTGTGAAACTATAAAATAGGGAATAGGGTTCTTGTGCTTAAGTTACAGTATTAGAATTATGGAGAAAAGTTATCCATAAATGTTCACTGGACTGCATAGTGGTACATATTTGGGTTATACAGTTGTACAGCATTTGTTACTGCAAACAATGATGCATATAGGAGTGTCTCTTAAGTAGTGACTTCTAATAATGCAAAGCTAATAAATGCAAATGCTGTTAATGCATATTGCCATGACTTCATTCCTGTAGAAGAATTTTAGAATCGAGAAACTAGTGGTTGAGTATTGACATTTGATTGAGTCAGTCTAAATTTATTTTCTTATTTTTAAGAAATTTGGCTCTTGTGGCTTTGCCTATTGACACTTCTGCTCTCTTTCAGAAAGATGAGTTGAAGAAAATGCTAACTACCAAGGAAAAACAACAGGAAGAAAGCCTAAGGACTATCGAAGCTCTGAAAGCTAAACTCAAATATTATGAAGTACGTCAGCTGAGCTGAAGCGTAATGTGGTGGTTAGCTACTGTAGTAAATACTGAAGCAATTGTTGTTTGAACTGCTGAAAGTCTTAAACAGTTGTCTTGTTGTAAAGCCTTCCCTGCTCTTTAATCCATAATTAAATATAGTATGAAGTTTTGAAATGAACTTTGTTATACCCCTACATTTTCTGCCTCTTGCTTTCAGGTTGACTTTGTGGGCTCTGGAAGTAATTTTGGTAATAGTAAGTATATTTAATTCTAATCACCTGTTATGCATGATGCAATGTTAAAACACGGTGATGAAGTGCGTGTCGTCTCTGCCTTCTGCTGCTCTTTGCTGTAGTGAGGCCTAATGTGTGCGTTGGCACCTCCAGCCTCAGCGAGCAGCTGCTCTGCCCGTGTCTGCACTTGGGGGCCAGGGTGCTCTTGATCTGCCTCACGTAGGAGTGACTGATGCTGTGAAATCCACATTGTTTTTCATGCTCCTAGAGGCCATAGGAGAGTTACAGTCTGAGCAAGATCTGTGATCCAAGCTGAATCCTTCCGTTCCCATTCCTTGCATCTTTACGATTCCAGCTCACGTTCTGGGTGCACTTTCCTGTGAGGCAGAACAACCGTGGTCATTGTGCAAACCTTAGTATGGGCAGAGAGGAGCTTGCAAACAAAAGCTGAGGCTCTCGGTTTCACTGAACCGACTCCATTTGCACAGACTGAAGCTCCCGTGTCCTGTTTGGGCACAGACCTGTCTTGCACTTGCATAACTCCGTGTCCCTTAGGCAGTCCCGAGCCTGTCGGAACACGTCACCTTTCCTTGCCGTGTGCATGTGCTGCCGTGCAGCTAGATCAGGGTGACTTCCAGAAGGTTTTGCAGACCTGTGTGTTGGGGTACCCCCTTTTCCAGCTAGATCAGGGTGACTTCCAGCAGGTTTTGCAGACCTGCATGTTCAGGGTATCCCTTTTTCCATGGGAGTCTCATACAGGCTGCATTGTATGACTGTACTAAAGGGTGGTCATCTTGATACCAAATACTTCAGCACCCAGCTGCTACCTTGTGCAGTGCCACTGAAGACAGCAGGGTTAGGAAGGAAAGCAGTTCTTGTGATTGTTCTGCTGTCTTTAAACAAAGACTAAATGCTGTTTGCTTTCTGAAAATACAGGAAAAGAGGAATTGCTGCTTAAGCAAGGTCAAGTGTTTGCTGTGGAATCACAGGTAATAAATACGCCCTAGGGAATTATGATGCTTAGTTATGACATATATGCTCGGGAAAACAGTATTTGCTTACACGCACATGTGTATCCATTAAACACTGCTTTTGAATACAGAATCTGCTAGCACTTCCCTCACTACCCTTATTTTGTAACTGTTGGTGCCCTCTAGAGCCACTTGTATAGCACAGCTCTAATGCTGTGAAATAGTCTGTGTCACTCCCTCGCTGCTCTGTCACGGCCGTTCTTAAACCTGAATCACCAGCAGCTGGACCAAAAGTACTGGACCATTTAGAGTTCTCGGTCATTCTTCCCTTAAATTGAGATAAAATTCAGGAAATGTTGTTTCCTGACAATTAAATAATTTTCTGCCAAATTTGTCTTGCTTTGTCTAGCCCCACTTTTAAGCCACGACTTGGTTATTTATGAGATCTATTACATTTTTTGCAGTGGGCAGTGTGTGACAGGGCTGTGTGTGTGTATGTATATATGATACGGTAGATAAATTATCAAAATTCTAAATGTATCTATTTCTGTGCAACTTCGTCTTCAGTCCAGGTCTATGCTGAGGCCCCTGGAGCTCTCCCTGCCCAACCAGTCATCCAGTTCAGAGAAGGAAGCTTTGAAGAGAGAGCTCGACACCATGAGGACCTGCTACGGTGCAGCCAAAGAAGAGATAAGCAAACTGCAGAGAGAGCTGTCTCGCAAGGCGACCGAATGTAAAGCTTTAGCATCAGAGTATGAAAGAACCAAGGAGGAATCTGATGGGCAGATAAAACAACTGGAGGATGCTTTAAAAGATGTGCAGAAGAGAATGTTTGACTCGGAAGGCAAAGTTAAGCAAATGCAGACCCACTTTCTTGCTCTGAAAGACCACCTGACTAATGAAGCGGCTTCAGGAAGCAGCAAGCTAGCAGAGGAGCTGAAGGATCAGCTCAGGGAAATGAAGACAAAGTACGAAGGAGCCTCTGCTGAAGTGGGTAAGCTAAGGAACCAGATTAAGCAGAATGAATTGTTAGTGGCAGAGTTCAAGAGAGATGAAGGAAGGCTGGTGGAAGAGAATAAAAGGTTGCAGAAGGAACTCGGTAAGTTGGAGATGGACCGAGATAAAGGGGAAAGAAACATCACAGAGCTAGAAAAGCGGCTCAGAGAAACGGCAGAGAAGCTAGCCCACTCCGTAACTGCAGAGAAATTTGAAAACATGAAGAGTTTGTTATCAAATGAAGTGAATGAGAAAGCAAAGAAGTTAGTAGAGATGGAAGGAGAACATGAAAAACTGCAGGCAGAGGTTTGTCTTTTAAGGAGGGAATCGGAAAGTCAAAAAGCTGAACTCGTTCATCATGTAAAGCCAGAAGAGCACGAGCAAATGAGGAGTGGCTTTGAGCAAAAAACTGAGGAACTTGGGAAAACCATTTCTGAATTATTACAGAAAAATCGGAGTTTGCAAAAGGAAGTCGAAGAAGTGCAAATGGATAATAAGATGCTTAAACAACAAATCCAGATGCTAAATACTGAAATTAAAAGCCAGAATGTGCCTTTAAAAGTTCATGAAGAACTAAAGAAAAGAAATGAACTGACCATTGATGATCTGACTAAAAAGGTTTCTGAAATAACAAACAAGTACAATGAAAGCAAGACAGAAGCTGAAAAGTTGCTGGAAGAGAAGGACAGCTTAAGTGAGAATTTAAGCCGCTTCCAAGCTGCGTACCTGTCCCCAGAGCAGCACGAAAAAGAGGTAAAGGCTTTAAAAGCGAATGGCATTGAGCTTGAGAAGCAGCTTGCTGAGCTTCATAAAAAATATGATGATGAGCAAGCCAAAGTGTGCAAACTAGTGTTGGAGAACACTGCCGTAAGAGAAACTCTCAGGGATCAGTATGTGCTGGTTACAACGCACGAAGAGATTAAAGCAGTCTTGAATAACACACTAGAAAAGACTAATACGGAGCTGTCGGATCTGAAGGGAAAAACGGAAGAAATAAAGAAGGAATTCATGAAGGTAAATGAAGAAAATGCAGCTTTGAAAAACAAGGTGAAACTCTTGCAGAATCAGCTGCAAACCGAATATATAAGTTTAAGAGATCATGAGTCTAAAGTGAATACTCTAAATAAAACCATGAAAGAACTTCAAGAAAATAATACTGAGATTATGGCTGGGTATAAAAGGGGTCAGGAAGAAATTTTGCAGTTACATGCAGAAATAGAAGCCCAAAAGAAGGAACTTGACATGATTCAAGAATGCATTAAGTCAAAATATGCACCAGTTCTCTCCTTTAAAGAGAAAGAACAAAGCTTTGAAGCCACAGTGAAAGAACTGAAAGAGCAGTTGTTGGAGCAAACACAGAGGTGCAGAGAAAGTGAGGAAGAAAGCAGGAAATGTAAACAGGAAAATGAAAAGCTCAAAAATGGTGTTTTGTCTATCCAAAATGACCTGCAACAGAACTACATCCTTGCTGAGAAATCCCATGAAATGGAAAAGATGTTCACGAACAAAATGGAAGAGCTGAACAAGCAGTTGAGAGAACTCCTGCAGAAATACACGGGCAAAGAAGGTGAGGAAGAAGAGGAGCAGGGGCCGGCGGCGCGGCCGCGCGGGGACGGCCGGGGCCTTCCCGGGGAGCGCTTTGAGGGCTGGAGGAAGGCGCTGGGGAGCACGGTGGAGCGCCTGAAGGAGGCCCTCAGGAGCAAGGAGGAGCGTTTGGACAAGGAGACGCTGAAAGTTTTGGCAGAGTACATGCAAATGAAGGAAACGCTGGAACAAGAAATCATAGCAGTCAAAAATAGCTTAAAAGAGAAGGAAGAAGAAAACGGCGTGAAAACTGAGGAAATCCTGAAGCTGCAGCGTGAGGTTGAGCAGACCCGGCAAGCGTTAACCGAGCTGGAGAGCAAAGAAGTCATTGATGTAGCTGAATATGAATCCATGAAGAGGAATCTGGAGGCCCAAGTTAGCAGCATAGCTGAGAACTTGCTCAGTGTGAACAGAAAGTATGAGGAAGCCTGTGAGGAGGCTCTGCAAGCCAAGAAGAGTGAGCTCTCCTTGAAAGGGGAAAAGGAATTGCTTCAGTTACGGAGCTGCAGCATTGAGCAAGAAATTAAAGACCAGAAGGAAAGGTGCGATAAATCATTGACAACAATTATTGAACTGCAGAAGAGAATACAGGAATCTGCAAAGCAGGTGGAAGCCAAGGATAACAAGGTAGGAAGTTAATGCTGCAGATGTTCTCAGTTTAGCTCTAAGCAACTAGATTTTCAATTATAGCAACTCTAGATAGTCAAGAATACTTTGTACTGAGTTTTCTTTTTGTGGTACCATTGTACTAAACTTTCCTAGTAGTTCATTTATGTCAGACATAGTTTGTAAGTAAACTCAACCTTTAATCCTCCAACATGAATTTATCATATTTTTTTATTTTTGTGTGTAAGCCGATTATTGCATTGCTTGGGTGATTTGCATATGTCCAGTTCATAGCTTGATTTGCTGATATGTTGTTAATCAGTTGATACGTTAATTTCTGTGCAAAAGCCGTTGCCAGCCTCAAATCAGGATGATGAAGCAAATCATGAAATTGTGACCCACGTGGCTTTGAAATGCCTAACTGGAGTTAGTAAAGGTCTTCAACAGGACTGCTTCATTTTGACAGATTCAGGCAGTACAAGGATGATTTCTTATGGTAAAATACAGAATTAAGGAACAGAGTGCTGACTTTAAAGGTTTTTAACTTTGTATTCTTGACCTGTATTTTCCATCCCATATTTCTCCTTCAGATACAAGGCTTGTGTAGGTGGGAGTGTGTTTTGTTTAATTTTTGTAGCCTGCTTTTTGAACATTCAATGTCCGCCTTGGAACTGAGACCTAGGATGTCTTTAGCCCACGAGACATTTGGGTCCCTCACAGAGGGGGTCCCTGCCTTGTGCTGGGGAGCAGAGCGTAACCACTGGGAGCCTGTCAGGAAAATGAGGTTGTGTTTGCCAATCCGCAGGAGACTTCAGAAAAAATGCCAGGAATATTGCTTTTCAGCAAGCGAGACATCCCTAACTGAGGCCTTTGTGTTCTTTTAAAGATAACAGAACTGCTTAATGATGTAGAGCGATTAAAACAGGCCCTGAATGGCTTGTCTCAGCTCACATACACCAGTGGGATTCCCTCAAAAAGACAGAACCAGCAGGTTGAGATGCTCCAGAACCAAGTGCAAATGCTGCAACAACAGCTCGCTGTAAGTAATTCACATTGCTCTGAAATGTGGTGGAACGTTCAAAGAGGGAGATCTCAGTGGGGTGGTTAGAGCCCTGGAGCCGGTTGTGAGCCCAGACAGTTAATACAAAGACCATTTCTCTGTGCAGGCTCTTAAAGCAGTACTTTATTTTTTTCCAAAAAACCCACACCCGTCACATCCCTCCTCCCTTTGGTGGGAGGAGAAGAGTCCCTCCTAAGGGACTTGGTGGCCCTGCATTGCTCCATGTGCAGCTGCCGTGCAGTGCAGTGCTCGTCAGGGAGAGCTGCAGGTTGCAGCTGGGGGTTGTGTTCACACGTGGGTGTTGGTGGCCCTCGGGACTTCAAGAAAGCTGCTCGTAAAGCTGTAAGAAAGCTGTATGTTTCTAAATCTGTGCAGAACCAGGATATATTCTTAATAGCATTTGCAAGGTTGAATTCTTTATAAACCAAAGCATACTTAAAGTGGGGGATTTCTTTTTTTTTAAAAAAAAAAAAAAAAAAAAAACCACACATGTTCTCTATGAAGTTGGCTTTTGATCATGGTGCCTGGTCTGACACTAATCAGCCTGTTGGAATAGCCTTGTTTTCAGCAAAATTGGTCTTCTGCCAATATGCAATAAAAAAGGGGAAGGGTGACTTTCCTTTTTGGTTTATGGAAGGGATATAGCAAAGCTTAGCCTTGAAATTGTGTTTTCGGCAGTCTAAAATATGTGCAAAAAAGCAAACACACAAAGCTGGAATTATGTGGAAATTAATGTTTAAAACTGAGTTAATCTCCCCTCTCTTTTTTTTTTTTTTTTTTTTTTTTTTTTTTTAATAGGATGCTAAAAGGCAGCATCAAGAGGTAATTTCAGTTTATCGGACACATCTTCTTAGTGCCGTACAGGTACGTTAGTCTGTCACTGCCTGAATGGAGACAGACACTAGTTTCTGTTTTACTGGAAGATTTCAAGTAGACTTGAACCTAAAATCAAGTGTCTGCTTTCAACCTGAGAGTTTTAGAATGAACTTAATGCAAAAACAGAGGAGTGGGATGTGTTTATTGTTCCATCTCCTTGCTACCATCTGTATACAGAGTCTCTATATTTATCAGTTACTGATTTTTAGGGTGGTGTGGGTGATGTGCATGGTTAATGCTGCATCATTTCAAATAATGCTGGCTGGAAGCTGAGTGAATATTGAGAACTTTTAATACAGCCTTAACCCAGGGGCTCTCACTGAACAAAACCCAGTAACTCGTTCTGAAATGTTAGGCTTTCAGATAACTTAAGCACAGGGAACAGATACTACTATTATAGCAACAAGCTGTGAAGTCAAGAGCATGTGAACAGTAATTATTTCCCAAATAAGGTTTTTGAATAATAAGCTTGTGTGCCATTGAGGTGGACCTTCCTTTCCCCAAGGAGAAAGCAATAAAAGGTTCTTTAAGTATTTCAGATCTGCTTAAGAGAGTGGTGGTGGGGAGGAGAGGAAAACAAAAGGAGTTAATGCTCTGGGCAGCTCTGCAGAACGCTCTGGTGTTGGCTGTGAATGCTGATGCTTTGGGCCTTTCTTCATTTAACTGGTGTTTGCTTGCTCTAGGGTCACATGGATGAAGATGTCCAAGCTGCTTTACTGCAGATCATCCGAATGCGGCAGGGCCTTGTTTGCTGACGTCCTTGGCGTGGTTCCCTCGAGGGCTGGACCGTGGTGAAACCTCCCTGGGGTTTGGGTTGCATATTTGCAGTTAGAACCCCCTACGAGTTGCTCCCAGTATGAAACAACTTACGAAGCTGAAATACTTTCTCAGAGAACAGTAGAGAAGGACTACGAAGTTTGAGATCCAACACTTACTTCAGTAGATTAATAAATGACATAGAGCCTACTTAGCAATTGGTTTACAAGTCAAAATGATGACAAATTACTTAAATTATTTCAGAGTCAGATTGACCACATCGTAAGACAAAGCTGATGCCCATAAATTCTAGTTTCTCCTATAACTTGAACTCTCATGGTATGGTTGAAAATAAACTGCATTCAAATGAGCTTGGCTGAAATATTGTAGCTGTTTAATTCTCTTAATCGTTTTTAAAAAAAGCGGCTATCCCATTTTTCACTTAAGTTGATCAAGACATAGCAATGTGCTTAGGTCAGCTGCAAAGCAAGACGGAAGGTATTTAGATGTATGTTGTAACTTGGCTGGCCAAGTTACAGAGCTTATTTAAGTAACTTAAGATGTAGTGCCTTTGCTTTTAACAAGTCTTTAATCAGGGTTTCTGTCAAAACACTAATTTTTTATCTCTACCTCCCCTGGGAATTTTTTCATGACTGTTTGATAATGGTGATTACTGTAGGTTCTGAAAGCAGGACTCGAGTGCCATGGTTTGTAGAACAGCATTTCACTCTAAATGCAGCAGTCCTGCTTTTGTATAATGTCATTCTTCAGGAATAATATGGATATAAACTGAGCATCTCATTAAGCTGTACATTAGGTAATTTGGATACTGGATTTTAAAACACTTTCTTACAGAAGTTTAAGGTATTTTCCTCTTAAATGTAAATTATGTACTATAATCCAGTTATTTATGCGGAAAGATGCAAATAGCAAATTTAATAAAATGCACATTTTAATTTGCTTGGAATCTACCTATTAAACAAGAGAGGGCCTCATTTTTAAGAGAAGGTGCAGTAATTCCAAGGGATGATGTACCTGAAGTAAGTTTTATGAAGGAAAATACACCTCTTGAATTATTAGGCTTATTTGTCAATGACTTTTCCTTTAAATAAAGTGTGTTGCTATTTTAACAGAATAAACACTAAATGTCACCAGTCTTCAGACAGTTGATTTGAAAGTGTTTGTGTGCATCTGGTAGGCAGGAACGTGGCATCCTGTGGACAACAGGCCAAGCTGCCCTCCCGTGCTCTGGAGAAACACGTTCTGAGGTCTGTGCGCGCCTGCTTGGTCCCCATGCAAACCCAGGAGACCAACCTGGCAGCCTTAGGGGTGTCTCTGCTTTCTCCCTTTATTTTTTTTAATAGTAGTGATATATTTGTTTCCTCTCGTACTCTTTCTTTTGGGCAGTGTTACGGCATAGGATGGAAATAACTGCCACAGAGGAGAGGATGCAGGCATAATGATGAATGTGTGGGACAGTTATTATATAAATATACTTAATATATTTGCTTAATATATCTGTAGTACAACAGATCTGCTGCTGCTTTCCTTTAATTTCTTAGAGGATTATTACAGAAGGCATCTCAGTATATATATACAGTAGTTTTTAGCCAAATTCTTTTCTGATTACATTACTTGAAACTCTCATTGGAGAGAAACTGATTGTTCTGCTATACTAACTCTGGTATATTTTGATATTCTGTTTCCTTACTGAGGGATCTCTGTGTAATTTTTAATCTTTTCCCATATTGCTCACCAATAAAGTGTTTTCTTCTTTTTTGTATTGTAGTGGTCAATTCTGTAAAAGATAAAGGAGTGTAAATAGTTGGCAAAATAATGAGAAGTGAAGGCTATTGCACTTGCTCAGATGCTCTCAAAGGCCAGGTAACGCAGGTTCACTCCTTAGATGTCTACTAAGGTTAGTAGTTATTTGTCTACTTGCAGAACTTGTGGTTTTAATGGTATTAATGGAGAATCAAATACAGAGAACTTCAAGGGTCTGTCAGTTGACTTCTCGGAGTAGATGAATTCTGCCAGCAAACGGGGTGTGCGGTCTCTTATGGCAGGATTTGGAGGTGAGCCAGGTTTTGGGTTTGAAAATGCATTTGAGTAATGTCCTGCCTGCCCTATTGGAGGAAACGAAGGATCTTCCCAGGATGATTTCCCAGCACTACGAGGTCTGTTCCCGGGGTGTGAAGGTGAAGGTCTCCCTGCTTTCACTGTTAGCCCAACTGTTTTTCCTTCATGGTCGTACCTGTTCACATCTGCAGGATGCACAAGTGGGAAAGGCTGGAAGTTGTTAGGATATGAAAATTGCAAGTAAACTTGGCTGTCTTTAAGCAGTAGCTGGAATAGGGGTTTCCTCCTTGGGCCCTCGGAAGCGCTGCAGGGGCTGCTCTTCCTTCTGCTCCGACTCGGTGCCAAAACTCCTAGCTGGAAATATTTGCTGCTCTCTAATGCGAGTCAGAGCAGGAGCCTGGGCTTTGAGCTCCTCGTTGTGAGGCTGCTGGAAGACCTGCTGTTCCGGCCACTGAATCCAAGGATGGCGTGTCACTAGGATGCTAAAGAGTTAAGGTGTAAGTTGATGCTTGTGTGCAATGGTGTTAGTAACATGCACCAAATGTCCTGTTTAATTAGGACAGTTGTCCATCAGGGATCTGGTAGCCCTGTGTTTAAGGTGCGTTTCAG